CAAAAACGAGAAAGGGTACCAAAAGGTGGAGCTACACGCGCAGCTGAACGCTGATTGGTTACAGAGATGCGTCACGAGCTCGTGGAGCTAGACAGAATGTAAACAAAGGAACCGCCATGTTCTAATACACAGCCGAGAGATTACATGGATATACAATATGCATATAATACCAAGCCATGGATGACACGGGCTCAAACAAACCTTGTCGTCGTCTTGATGAACAGACACAAAGCCAAGAAGAGCAAAATCTGCCGTGTGCTTTTGTTGCTTTAAGAGCCTGTCTAAAAGTGCGAGCAGTATTCGCTTTCTTCCGGGAGCTTGCGATCACATCTATATTTGATATGACAAACTTCTTGAGCTGATGATAATAACGTGTGCGTGATTATTGAAGTGTCTCCGTCATCTGATCCATACAGAAAGAAAAGGACAAGCGCGAGAGTGAAGCGCGGGAAAAAAAGAGAAGCTGTCAAAACACAGGAGCAAAAGTGTTTTAGCGACCTGAATCATGAACAAACTGCCATGATTATCTTCGTCTTGTGGATTATTATGAACTAAGAATGACAGAATGACTCTAACAGAGCTTACATGTGCTGCTAAAGATTACAGACACAGATGAGAGGTTTGCGCAGACTGTGGGCTATATTGCACGCGTTTTTGAACTCAAATAAGTACTAAATGTCTGATGTTTGTAGTTGTTCTGTAATCAATAATATATCGGAGACTGTAAGGGGCTGTATGTTCTCCATTTACAACTTGTAAACATTACTTTTCTGAAATTACATTATTAAGGAGAGTCCGAACATCCGAATATAAAACCAACTTTACCTCTATCAGTCCAAACACATGCGCTATAATAGGATTGACGAACTAAATTGGTTGTAGTGTGTGTGAATGAGTGTGTATGGGTGTTTCCCAGTACTGGGTTGCATCTGAAAGGGCATCCGCTGTGTAAAAACATATGCTGGATAAGTTGGCGGTTCATTCCGTCTAAGCCGAATAAAAACGAATGAATGAATGAACATTTATTCCAGCCATATCTTGAATATTGTTGCCATTTTTACTCCAAACTCCAACTATTATTCTTATTATTATTATATACTGTTTGAATGTCATATTCTACATCGGTCCATAAGTACTTGATCTACCATTATTCAATAGATTAAGTCCATACAGAGGCGTTATTTCAGTAAATGTAGTGATTTTACATCATTTATTATCACGCTAACACTTCCTGGCTGACGCAAAGTTACAGCTGTTTCATTATCATGACGGTGCTATTCTGTACAGCATGGCAAAACACACACAACATATCTATGAAACCCACAAATTCATAAATGACATTAATTATAACACAATGCTAAACACATAACGCTTCCGTATCATGAACTGCAGATCTGTCAGAGATCTATATTCCTCCGCGTTTGTGAAAACAGAGTATTTTGAAACAGATATACCTTGTCCAAAACTAAAATAAGAGTTTAAATTAAACAGAATTTCTTTAATAAATCAATTTAATAAATAAACCATCCTCGAATTATGCGGACGAAGCACTTTATCCTCAGCGTGTGTTTGTTTATGATGTAGTCTTTCATTGTAGCAGCCCGCGGGGAGCTGCTCGTCGATATGAATGGCTTTCCTAAGGTGTAATTCGGGAATAAATATAACTGAAAACACACGTACCTGAAAACTTGGCAGATGTCAGTGTGTGTAAACCCTGAAAACAACTGTAGACACTTTCACACACACGCCTGTGATGAACAGCTGCAGCGCGTCTTCTTCTGAGGCTTTATTCGATCGGCGAGCGAACACAAGATGCGCGCCACAGCGACACAGCCGCTGGAGAAGCACATCACACACGGCAGCTGCTGAGGTAAAGTATTCGCACATGCATTTATTTATAAACAGTGACATCTTTGAGTATATTGTGGTAAAGTTAGTTTTATATTCGGACATTCGTTCAGTGATAGCGGTCTCTATATTGTTTACCACACTACAGGGTCTGAAATCGCACGTGTATGACTTTAACTCATTTTTATTAGCACTATTTAATTGTCAGTCGTTGGCTGCTAATATGGTTTCCCTATTTAGAATTAGCAACTATATTATTATAACCTATATTATTGAGGAAAATGTCTGAATATACCAATATAAAACCAAATTCACGTCAGTTTTGAATATTCTGTCACTTGAGTATGACTTTAAAACAACATTAGCACTATTGACTTGTAATACAATTTCCCTACTTAGAATTAGCAAATAATACTTTTCAGGATTTATATTATGAAGGAGAAAGTTTGAATGTGCAAATATAAAACCAACTTTACCTGAATATGAGAATTAAAGGGGATAGTTCACTCAAAAATTAATATATATTACATCAGTGGTTCTCAAACTGTGCTACGGGCTTACTTCTAGTGGTACCCGGAGGAATCACCAGTGGCGTAGAGGACGGGCACGCACCGCGGGGGGGCCCGCGTGATGGGGGGGCCCTGCGTCGTCGCGATTTTCAATAATTGAAAATCCAGCAACCGCAATAATCAAACTCTTGGGAACAACTGTGGTCTGAACCAAATTTCACAGGTCTGTGTTCTCTGAACACCTCTCAAGCGGTGGACTACTTCATTCTGATTGCTTGCCGCCAAACCGCGTCATATCATAGATCAGTTGACTTGATTTGATCTCTCCTTGACGCTCACAGCGGAGAAGATGCGCCGTGCTGTTTCTCGCCGCCGGTTCTCATTGAAAATGAATGACTTCTGGCTACTTTGACGCTCTCGCCGCTTTCGGTTTGTGATCGCTCCTCAGTTTGTGAAGGCTTCCCCGCGTTGTCGCTCCACCCCGCCTGCCTTCCCCGCTCCTCAAATTGTGATCGTTTCCCCGCGTTGTTCCCCCCCTATCATCAGGGGGCCCTGTCAGTGATCCCTGCAGGGGGCCTCCGCATTTTGCGCTACGCCACTGGGAATCACTGAGTAATGAAAGAAAAAATTAATACAATTTTGAAAAATGACCATATTCTTTTGTTACAACTCGGTCACTTGAGTGTCAAAATTGAACTCACAGGCTATAAAAAATGTGTTAGACCTGCAGCATGACGCACTTGCGTATTCCAGGCATACCCAGTTGAAAACATCTCAACTTTTTAGAATGCCGCACCGCAGTCACGTGACAAGAATCAACTGATCAGCTTCATATTTTATATAGAATATAACTTCGTTAGACTAATTATCTCAAACACAGAACGCCCAAACACAGCAGTGCTTCTTAATTTTCTCCATAAATAAAACTCGTATCAGAGTGCAGCAATGTTCTGTCAGCTTAACATCCTCTGGGAAAAACGGGTTCCCTAGCAATCTACATACAAGTTAATGTTTAGATTTCAAAAAGTTGTACAAATACTTCATATGTACATGCAACATTTATTTCAAAATCTATCAAAAATTGTATAAATGTGAATATGACTTGTTTTTGAACTGTGCAGTGCTGGAGCTGCTTAATTTGGCCAACTCCACTGCTTTATTTCATTACTGGTCATTATGGTGGTACTTGGAGTGACCAATTTTTTTGAGGTGGTACTTGGTGAAAAAAGTTTAAGAACCACTGTATTGAATCATTATTTACTCACCATTGACTTTTTTAAAAACTGATTCTCCTTTTAACACAATGTAAATTGAGGGATATCGGAAACAATTATCGATTTACTTTAGTACTACATTACTATGGAGGTCAACGGCCTTGTGCACTGTTCAAATTGACTCCCACTTTTGTTATGCTCGAGATGAAAACATCCACTGAATTAAACTGCTGTAAAAATGCATCTTACCAAGTTTTTTTTTTTAGCATAAATCTGTTAAGAAACTTCAGTCCTGATCAAAACTAGTAAATTGTTTAGAAAACTACAGGACTTTAATTCTCCAATTGCCAAATTCTCAAATGATGTCACTGATTTGGTGAAAAACGAACACAAAGTGACGTATTTTCAGTAAAATAAAGTAATTGTAGACTGGATTTTTAAAACCTTTTATCTATTTTATCATGTAAATTATATATAAACCTAAAACTAAAAAAATAATATCATGCATTTTGTATGATCTCCCGTATATTGTTAAAAAAAAAAACTTCAGTGTCTGGTTCAACAAGCTGTCAATAAATATGGTGTATTATTATAAAAATGTATATTATACAAATTGTTATACTTCATATAAAATGAAAATAGAAGAGACTTAATTAAGAGACACTTAATTAATTTTACAGTTTATTTGCACTTATTGTCCCAAAGAAAGTAGAATATATTCAGACAATAGCATGTTTCATAAATACCTTTTTTAGAGTCCATCTGAGGAAGTTTGGTGGGACGACTGCATCCAAATCATCATACATAAACGTTTTTAGATGTTAGTATCAGTATGTTAGTTTCAAAGGGACCTATTATGCCCCTTTTACAAGGTTTAAAATAAGTCTTGGATATGTGTGTGTGTGTGTGTGTGTGTGTGTGTGTGTGTGTGTGTGTGTGTGTGTGAAGTTTTAGATCAAAATAGCACACAGATAATGTTTTCTAACTCTCTGAAACTGCCCCTTTTAGGTGACTGTCGCTTTAAATTCAAATGAGACTGTGCTCTTTTTAAAAGAGGGCGGAGCTACATATGCCTGCGTGTCAGCATAGTGGCAGATTCAAAACTAATGGCAGATGGCTGCTTCTCACTCAGGGCTGTTCGTGCTAATGAGGGAGAGATGGTCACTAGTGGGCGGGGTTTTCCCCCTCTGATGACACATAAAACGGGAGAATGTCAATCAAATCGTTTCAGCACACTGTTTTTGTCACGTGTGAATATTAAAATAGAATTTAAAAGGGGAGGAGCTACTCTATGCTCCGCTCTCTCTTCAAATTTAAGTTGAGATTGTCAAACATCAAATAAAAAAGGCTCATTTCAAAGTGCGTAACTGGATCTTTTAAAAAATAATGCAACAAACAAGATGTCAGAGACAACAGAAGCACGCAGAACTGCTTTCCTCTACCCACCAACATTTTATTTGATCTCTTAGATTAGATTTTCCATAAAGAATTGGAATAATACAATGCAATACTTACAAAATGGAATCAAAACCTAAAAACGGGGCCGATCATCTTCACGTCTGATAAAAACAAAAGGGTTCGTGGAATTGTATGAAAAGCAGGTGAAATTTAACATTGACTGCAATCATTTTTTTTGGATCTGGAACCACAGTTTCTACCGAGACTGGTGTCTTGTCAATCGTAGATGACGGATTAGTACAGTGCTTGTGCTAAAATTAAAGCAAAATTTCTTATCAAATTAAAACAAAAGTGGCTTGGAAGGTGACACTGTCAATAGTGTTAAAAAAATCATTAAAAATTGCTAAAAAAAATAATGAAAAAATCAAAGTACTGATACTATAGTACAAAAAAAAAGGTTAAAATGACAGCATGACAGACAGATAGCATCGTCTGGGCCCTGTGCGATTTACAGATCCTCCAAAACCCAGTCCGTTCTGATTATCTATTTACAAAAAGACGAACATCCAAACTATGCATGGTGGCCAGAAGACTTTAACCAAATGACGAAAGAGACGAGACATGAAAACCGTCCCTTCACGCTCATATATATATATATATATATATAGATTTGCTCTTTTCCAGTATGCACACAAAATACGCCTGCACCTTTGGAAAGATTATTTACAGCTCTTCAGTTAAATCTCAAAGCTATTTAAAATATACTTAATGCATAAAAATAAAGATTTTGGCATTCTCTTGCTTCTTCCTCTTCGTCCGTGAAGTGGCTAGTCCTTCAGGTAGCCAGCAGTCATCCAGCCTGCCAGGGGGTGCTGTGAGTCGGGTTAGTCCTCAACAATATGGGGAGCATCTATAGAATCCATTCACCATCATCTCCAATTCATCTCAGATAAAAGTAGTTGTATTTGCTGTGTTTTTTTTCCGAGGGGGTGTTGGGGGGCACCTTCATCAACCCCCGTCCAGGTCTCCATTAGTTCATATCACAAGCAAAAATCCAAATACGGACAAACTAACAAAACAAAACAAAAAACTAAAGAGTGGCTGAGAGAGCTGCAATTTAAGAAAACACATGCAGTTTAAAGAAAACGGAAATTAAGAAAAGATCCTCATCGGTTTGACAGCATACCCAAAACCCAAACACATTAATAAAATACGCTGCATTTTCTACAACACATGCAAATAGCAATGAACCTAAAGGGGACCCTAAAACGTGACGGATGTGGCTATATAAGTTATGATTATTCAGGCTAATAAAATACTACAGAATAGCGTAATCAGGATGTTAAATACACAACAAAACTCTGCTTTCGAAGATCACCTACAACTTCACTGAGCAATATCCACGGCACAATAAACAAATCCCAGCAGGGGAGCCACGTTTTTAAGTCCCATTGAAACATTTCCGTTTCGCATTGCCCTATTTGAATGAAAATGCAGCACGTTTTATTAAAGTGTTTGCGTTGTGAGGATTTGCTGTCAAACTAACGAGGATCTTTTCTTAATTTGCTGGTGTTTTTAGCAATTGCATGTGCTTACCTAAATTGCGCGATGTTAAGCTCTCTTGGGGACCGTAAAAGATGGAGATAAGGATCTGAAGTGGTATTAAGGTGTCGTTCCCTGTGTGATTGGCTCGCCATTAAATCGAATTGTCTTTCAAGGTCGCTTCTTCCACCCCCGTTCGCATCTCCATTAGTTCATATCACAAGAAAAAAAACAAATATGGACGAACTAACAAAAAACAAAGGAGTGGCTAAAAGAGCTGCAATTTAAGTAATCACATGCAATTATTATTAATAACGTCAGCAAATTAAGAAAAGATTTTCGGATTGACTGCATACATGATGCGAATCCTCACAACCCAAACACATTAATAAAACACGCTACATTTTCTCACAACACATGCAAATAGCATGGAACACAGCGGAAATGTTTTAAGGGGACCCTAAAATGTGACGGATGCCACTATATAGGTTATTTATGCTAATAAAATACTAAATAATAGCTTAATCAGGATGTTAAATACAGAACAAAACTCCGCTTTCGAAGATCACGTACAACTTCACTGAGCAAAATCCGAGGCACAATAAACAAATCCCAGCCAGGACTTACGTCTTTAGGTCCCATTGAAACATTTCCGCTCTGCGCTATTTGAATGAAAATGCAGCACGTTTTATTAAAGTGTTTGCGTTGTGAGGATTTGCTGTCAAATTGACGAGGATCTTTTCTTAATTTGCTGGTGTTTTTAGCAATTGCATGTGTTTTCTTAAATTGCGCGATGTTAAGCTTTCTTGGGGACCGTAAAAGATGGAGATATGGATCTGAAGTGGTTTTTAGGAGTCGTTCCCTGTGTGATTGGCTCGCCATTAAATCAAATTGTCTTTTAAGGTCGCTTCATCAACCCCCGTCTGTATCTCCATTAGGTCATATCACAAGCAAAAAAACAAATATGGACCACTCAAAAAAACGAGTGGCTGAGAGAATTTAAGAAAACACATGCAATTACAAAAAAAAAAACACCAGCAAATTAAGTAAAGATTTTCGGATTGACTGCATACATGATGCGAATCCTCAAAACCCAAACACATTAATAAAACGAGCTGCATTTTCTCACAACACATGCAAATAGCATGGAACACAGCGCAAATGTTTTAAGAGGACTCTAAAACGTGATGGACGCCACTATATAGGTTATTTATGCTAAGAAAATACTACAGAATAGCGTAATCAGGATGTTAAATACAGAAAAACTTCACTGAGCAATAGCCATGACACAAACAAATCCCGGCCAGTCCGTCACGTTTTTTAGGTCTCCTTGAAATATTTCCATTCTGTTCCGTGCTATTTGCATGAAAATGCAGCACCTTTTATTTTAATATGTTTGCGTTGTGAGGTGTTTTTAGTAATTGCATATGTTTTCTTAAATTGCGCGATGTTAAGCTTTCTTGGGGACCGTAAAAGATGGAGATAAAGATCTGAAGTGGTTTTGACGAGTCGTTCCCTGTATGGTTGGCTTGCTATCAAATTGAATTGTCTTTCAAAGTTGCTTCATCTCATTGTTCCTCAAAGTCGCTTGTTTGCTGTTTTGTTGTTTATCTTGAATGTTTTGAGGAGATTCATCAACCCCCGTCTGTGTCACCATTAGTTCATATCACAAACAAAAAACAAATACGGACAAACTAAGAACAAATGAAAGCTGGAGATGTGGATCTGAAGCGGTTTGCGGAGTCGTTCCCCGTTCCCTGTATGGTTGGCTCGCCATTGTCCCTAAAAGTCTCTTGTTTTTGTTGTTTGTCCTTATAGTTGGATCTTGTTTTGTGAAGCTTGCAGGGGGGTTGTTGCATCTTCATCAACTCCATCTGTGTCTCCATTAGTTCATATCATTATCATCAGAAACCAAATATGGATAACCTGCCAAAAAAAAAAAAAAAACGAAAGCTGGAGATGTGGATCTGAAGTGGTCTTGAGGAGTCGTTCCCTGTATGGTTGGCTCGCCATTTAATCTCATAGTCCTTTAAAGTCTCTTGTTTGTTATCCTTATAGCTGGATCTCGAATGTTTTGTGGAGCTCGCTGGAGAAGGGGTTTGTGGGTGATGGAGCGGTGCGCTGCTGCGACCGGCTCTCCAGTGCGGCCCACTGCGCCTCAAAGGCATCAGCCTGCGGTGGATTTGCCCCAGCCTGTCCAGCAGAGGCCGCCGCTGCCCAGCTGTTTGCCCCATTGAAGGCTGGACTGGGTTTGGGTGGCGGCTGGAGAACCACAGTATTGGGCACCGGAGGTAGCAGAGGTTTACCGAACGGACTGCACACGGGCTGGGGCTCGAACTGGGTGGCCGGTGGGGTGGAGAAGGGTGAAGACTGTAGCTGCGTTTGGGCCACAGGAACCGGCACTGATATGGGCTGAGTTTGTGTGGCAGATCCAAACACATTGGCCACCATCTGAGAAGGTGTGATGCCCACTATTGGAAACGTAGGTTGTGCGTAAGGAATCCCGTTGGACACTGGGAATGATACGGGCGCTTGTGCATGGAAAGCCGGCTGACGTGGAGGAACAGACGGAACTGCGGATGGAGGAATCGGGGGCATGAAGGGTGCAGATGGGGGCAGTGGGACAGGCACCGGGGCAGGGAAGGGCTGCTGAGCGGGAGGTGTGCTGGTCCTGGCGGTGGAAGCGGGTTGGTGGGCTCGGACAGATTTGGTGACCTCCTCCAGCCAGCGGTCGGCTTCTGAAGGGGTGCGCTTGTGAGCGGAGGTGGGTGTGGAGAGAGTCGCACTCACTGCAGGTAGAGCTCCTGTACTGGGGGAAGGGCTCGGCCATTCGCTCCCTGCAGGACACAAAAATAACATTTCAAAATATCCTGAAGGATTTCATCTATTCTGGGATTTGCAACAGTTTAAAGGTCTCATGAAGATGCTAGTTTTAATCTAGTGTGCTCTAAAACAGGGATCAAATTTGTGTTTAGAATAAATAACCTGAATTAAACACCCAAAGCTTGCAATCTGTCACTTCCACCTAAATCAGGGGTGTCAAACTCAGTTCCTGGAGAACCGCAGCCCTGCACATTTTAGTTCCAGCACTGCTTCAACACACTTACCTGCAGGTTTCAAACAAGCCTGAAGGACTCAATTAGTTTGATCAGGTGTTTTTAATCAGGGTTAAAACTAAACTGTGCAGAGCTGCGGCCCTGCAGGAGTTTGATACCTGTGGCTTAAACTAATAACATTTTTTCAGTTTCTTGTCAAATCTTCTGACCAATCAGATGCTCTGTAGTGTCTGACATGTCCCGCCCCATTCGCATTTCCTCGCACATGCAGATTTGAGATTATATTATGCAGAACCTGCTAACAATAATGCAGTCTTATGGGCCGATCACACCGAACACGCCTTTACACGAGGTGCTCCACAATGGCTGTTTCTCAATATGCGCTCTTGTCTGTGCTTGCGTTCTCGTGTCCTCGTAAAACGTCATCAACGGTCGCCAGAAGTACTGTTCCAATTAAAAGTTCACATCTTGCCAAGTACAGATGCATTTCCCGGATGTCTACTTGCTCTGCCCCTTTTGCTGAGGATGCATCAAGAGGTGACTTGTGCGAATTTGCGAAGCAAACCCAGAATGCATTGCAGGCCGACAAGCGAAAAGTAATGGGGGTAGGAGAAAACCCACACGCTTTTAAAAATACTGCTTTGTTGGGTTAAAAAATTAAGTTTTGACAGTTTTTTAAGCGAGAATGTAGTTGTGTTAAACTTGAATTGGCAGTTTATTCACAAAGATAGCGCGTCTTTGGTGATGTGCCTTAGCTTTTGCGGACTCTGACCCCCAGCCTGTCAGCGGGAGCTTCGTCAACACCTCCCCTGCCGAGAGCAGCTTTGCTTCAGCCAATCCATCTCGGATGTACCGCTGGATCTCATCTCTCCATTGTAGTTAAAACATGATATTTAGTTCCTCTCGTGTATATTTAATGGACAGTTTTTGGTCTTTTAAATGTATTATTTGTTCTCAGGTGTGTTATTTTGGCAGTGTTATTTTGTTAGGTTTTATAATTGACTTTAATTATGTAACTGTGTTGTACACTGTTTACCAAATGACTAATGTTATCTTTATCTCTTATTGCGAACGTCTTGTACTATATATTTGTATAATGTCCATTATAGTTTATTAAATCTAATAATCAAAGACACGAGTCTGTGTATAATAACACATCTCACTTCACATTCATAGTAATTTATGTTTACATTTTCTTAAATCAAACATGTAGATTTATAATATCAATGTAACATTAATTATAAGGCTCTGCTTTATGTAATTAAATCATTTTATTGTTAATGTACAGTAAAGCCGATGAATCCATGGTGTGGTAAGTGGCGTTATAAAGTACGCTGCGCTCCATTTGAAGTAGTACCCGACTTGTGTTCTCGCGTCCTATGGAGTTAATTCTTCCAAGTCGAAACTTGGCAAGTCGAAACTTCCAAGGACACAAGTACGAACTTTGCGTACTTGGTATTGAGAAACAGTTAATGGTTGCGTCCAAAACCGTATACTTCCATACTATATAGTACGCTAAAATCAGTATGCGAGCAGAGAAGTATGTACGAATTCGTAGAATTTAAAACTCAGTAAACGAGAAGTACTCAGATGACCTACTACTTCCTGCGAGATTCTGAAGTGCGCATCCCATGCATGCTGCGCTATCCCATGATGCCCCGCAAGATAATTCATGAATGGGAGTGAAGTGACGCAACTGACGCAGGTAGGTCACGTGACCATGACAAAATGGCGGATGTATTACGTCCGAATTCCATTCATACTTTTCACATTCATACTGTATAGAACGTACTTTTCTAACGGCTGAGTAGTACGTTTAAATACAAATGCAGTACCTACTGAGTAGTGGGCGGTTTCAGATGCATCCAATGTCTATTTTTCAATATTTTTGTCGCTAGGCAACCACTGAATCAGCTGAGTTTTGCGCACGAGTGTTGCTGTTGATATTGTTATAATTGTAATATTTAATAATATTGTGACATTCAAGATCTGTGAGTCATTCAGCACCGGCTAACTCGAAATAACAACCACACGTCTCTCCTCCATCTTCAAAAGTCTCCATAGTCATCATGACAACACAAACACTGCAGTCACCTCGATGGAAATCCCGCCTCTGCTTTCATTTGATTGGACAATGAAACAGACGCGACTGACGTAACGCGCTTTTCCCGCTCAGAGTTGACCTGCGAGCACACAGAGCGCAACAGCAAAAACTTGAGGAGCAGCAGGCGGTTAAAGCACGAGGTGCGCAGGTTCATCATCAGCATGCAAAACGCTCGCGGCCGTTAGTAAATCATTCAACGCAAAAAGCGCAATTGGTGTGGTCGGCCCCTAACACTGAAAGCAAGATGCATTAGTGATCGCTTGTTCTGCATGGCCAGCAGGAAGCCTGTGCTCTTACCTGTGTGTGCTGCGTGTGCCGGGGCTGTGTTTGGGGCTTTGGCCCAGGGGTTAGTCTCGCGGACGGGCAACGGTGGTGGCGGCAGCACAGGTGAGTTAGCTGCAGTGGTTACAGTGACGCTAGGCGGAGGGAAGGCAGGAACTGCGCCATTAACTACAGCAGCAGACAGGACCAGAAGATTAGAGACAAAGCCGGACACATACACACACGCAGGCGTGCACACACACACACACACACACACACACTAGGGGTTGCAAAGACTAGCTGATTAGCTCTGCCACTGGTTTAAAATTGATAAACAGCCAACAGCAGACTAGTGAAGGAGTAAGCATTGATGTAAGCTGTAATATACACACACACACACTGACCTGGAGCGGCAGGTGACTGTGGTGAGGAGGCTGGTTTGGGCATAGGTGCAGAGGAGAAGGGGTCTTCAGGAGGCCCGCTGAAGGTGGACGTGATCTGAGTGCACAGAGAGCTGATGCTGTCCACCTCACCCTCCACCTCCGGCACTGACACACACACACACACACACACACACACACATTTATATCATCTAATGAAAACTACAGCATCGTCACACAGACAGAAGGATGTCCCTTTTCCAGGCTGTTATTTTAATAGTAGTTGGTGCTCTAGGCTAGTTTTTAGTAGTAGATGGCGCTTTAGGCTTGTTTTAATAGTAGATGGCACTCTAGGCTAGTTTAACAGCAGACAACACTCTAGGCTAGTTTTAAGAGTAGATGGCGCTCTAGGCTAGTTTAACAGCAGATGACGCTCTAGGCTAGTTTAACAGCAGACGGCGCTCTAAGCTAGTTTAACAGCAGATGGCGCTCTAAGCTAGTTTAACAGCAGATGGCGCTCTAAGCTAGTTTAACAGCAGATGGCGCTCTAAGCTAGTTTAACAGCAGATGGCGCTCTAGGCTAGTTTTTAATAGTAGTTGGTGCTCTAGGCTAGTTTTTAATTGTAGATGGCGCTCTAGGCTAGTTTTAAGAGAAGATGGCGCTCTAGGCTAGTTTTTAATAATAGATAGCGCTCTAGGCTAGTTTTTAGTAGTAGATGGCGCTTTAGGCTTGTTTTAATAGTAGATGGCACTCTAGGCTAGTTTAACAGCAGAAAGCGCTCTAGGCTAGTTTAACAGCAGACAACGCTATAGGCTAGTTTTAAGAGTAGATGGCGCTCTAGGCTAGTTTTAAGAGTAGATGGCGCTCTAGGCTAGTTTTTAATAGTAGATGGCGCTCTAGGCTAGTTTTAATAGTAGTTGGCACTCTAGGCTAGTTTAACAGCAGACAGTGCTCTAGGCTAGTTTAACAGCAGTAAACGCTTTAGGCTAGTTTTAAGAGTAGCTGGCGCTCTAGGCTAGTTTTTAATAGTAGATGGCGCTCTAGGCTAGTTTAACAGCAGACGGCGCTCTAGGCTAGTTTTTAACAGTAGATGGCGCTCTAGGCTGGTTTAACAGCAGACGGCGCTCTAGGCTAGATTTTAATAGTAGACAGTGCTCTAGGCTAGTTTTAAGAGAAGATGGCGCTCTAGGCTAGTTTTTAATAATAGATAGCGCTCTAGGCTAGTTTTTAGTAGTAGATGGCGCTTTAGGCTTGTTTTAATAGTAGATGGCACTCTAGGCTAGTTTAACAGCAGAAAGCGCTCTAGGCTAGTTTAACAGCAGACAACGCTCTAGGCTAGTTTTAAGAGTAGATGGCGCTCTAGGCTAGTTTTAAGAGTAGATGGCGCTCTAGGCTAGTTTTTAATAGATGGCGCTCTAGGCTGGTTTAACAGCAGACAGCGCTCTAGGCTAGTTTTTAGTAGTAGATGGCGCTTTAGGCTTGTTTTAATAGTAGATGGCACTCTAGGCTAGTTTAACAGCAGACAGTGCTCTAGGCTAGATATTAATAGTAGACAGTGCTCTAGGCTAGATTTTAATAGTAGATGGCGCTCTAGGCGAGTTATTAACAGCAGACAGCGCTCTAGGCTAGTTTAACAGCAGACGACGCTCTAGGCTAGATTAACAGCAGACGACGCTCTAGGATAGTTTACCAGCAGATGGCGCTCTAGGCTAGTTTAACAGCAGATGGCGCTCTAGGCTAGTTTAGCAGCAGATGGTGCTCTAGGCTAGTTTAACAGCAGATGGCGCTCTAGGCTAGTTTAACAGCAGATGGCGCTCTAGGCTAGTTTTTAACAGTAGATGATGTTCGCCCCATGGAACATTAATCCGCATCGGTTTCTGTTTTCCCGTTTGAATTGACTTGTATGCAATTTAAAAGTGTAACCTAATTCCGTGTTTGGTGTGAACAAGTTGTTTTTTTTAAAGGTGATGAAAATGTAGCTGCTGATGGGGCATTACCAGTGTTTTTGATGGGGAAGTCAGACTTGCGCTGCATGGTGGAGGGCAGCTCGTTCATGCGCAGCGACATCTGCCGTTTAAAGGGCGATGTCTTTTGGCTGAGCGCCGGAAAGCCCCTGAAGGAGCCTTGGCGAGCGAGAGCCTCCACAGGAGCGTGCCGGCGCGGGATGACATGAGGATTTCCGTCCTGCAGGCCCAGCGGAGCCATGGGCAGAGGAGGAGATGAGGAGCCATTGGGGCCCGCCAGAGTCACCACCACTGGGTTACAGGAGCCGCCGGAAGAGCTGCTTATCACTAAATCTGAGTCTGAGAGAGAGAGAGGTTGTTTTTATAATCATATTAGTCATTTTCCTATTTCTGTATGTATCAAACTTCTTATTGTTTTGATAATGTATCAATGATATACACTTGCCGGCCACTTTATTAGGTACAGCTGTCCAACTGCTCGTTAACGCTAATTTCCAATCAGCCAATCACATGGCAGCAACTCAATGCATTTCGGCATGTAGACATGGTCAAGATGATCTGCTGCAGTTCAAAGCGAACATCAGAATGGGGAAGAAAGAGGATTTAAGTGACTTTGAACGTGGCATGGTTGTTGATTTCAGAAACTACTGATCTACTGGGATTTTCACGCACAACCATCTCTAGGGTTTACAGAGAATGCTCCAACAAAGAGGAAATATCCAGTGAGCGGCAGTTCTGTGGGCGCAAATGACTTGTTGATGAGGCCAGAGGTCAGAGGAGAATGGCCAGACTGGTTCCAGCTGATAGAAAGGCAACAGTAACTCAAATAAGCACTCGCTACAACCGAGCTCTGCAGAAGAGCATCTCTGAACACACAACACGTCCAACCTTGAGGCGGATGGGCTACAGCAGCAGAAGAGCACACCGGGTGCCGCTCCTGTCAGCTAAGAACAGGAAACTGAGGCTACAATTCACACAGACTCACCAAAACTGGACAATAGAAGATTGGAGAAACGTTGCTGCTCTGATGAGTCTCCATTTCTGCTGACACATTCGGATAGTCGGCTCACAATTTGACATCAACAACATGAAAGCATGGATCCATCCTGCCTTGTATCAGCGGTTCAGGCTGGTGGTGGTGGTGTAATGGTGTGGGGGAGATTTTCTTTGGGTCCATTAGTACCAATTGAGCATCAACGCCACAGCCTACCTGAGTATTGCTGCTGACCATGTCCATCCCTTTATGAGCACAGTGTCTCCATCTTCTGATGGCTACTTCCAGCAGGATAACGCAGCATGTCATAAAGCTCAATCATCTCAGACTGAACACGACAATGAGTTCACTGTACTCAAATGGCCTACACAGTTACCAGATATCAATGCAATAGAGCAGCTTTGTGATGTGGTGGAACGGGAGATTGGCATCATGAATGTGCAGCCAACAAATCTGCAGGAACTGTGTGATGCTATCATGTCAATATGGAGGAAAATCTCAGAGAAATGTTTCCAGTAGCTTGTTGAATCTACACAATTAAGGATTAAGGCAGTTCTGAAGGCAAAAGGGGTCCAACCCGGGACTACTAAGGTGTATCTAATAAAGTGGCCAGTAAAACTAACATCTAGAAAACTTTAGTTTAATTTTACAGGACCTTTAATATAAACTCGGAGCCCTCTTGGCTCTGGTTTCCTGCAAACGCACCTTTCTTGTTGTCCTGCAGCTGCCTCATGACCTCCTCCCGCTCCGCCTGCTCTGTTGCCGTGGTGACACGGAAAGATCCCTCTCGTGTGAATGTGGTGCGGTTGGCATCGAAAGTGGCCGTGACGCCGCACTCTTTCTCCCGCTTCTGCTTGCGCTCCAGACAGGCGGCAAACGCACAGCCCACAGCGTGACTCAAACGCTCCCCCTGAGAAACACAATCATTACAAACACGCACACGTTTGAGCATCGATATCGTCTCCAGAACAAACCACTGTGATACAATGACTTGCCTAATTACCCTAACTTTACCCTGATTACCCTAGTGAAGCCTTTAAACGTCACTTTAAGCTGAACACTAGTGTCTTGAAGAATATCTAGTCTAATATTATGTGTTGTCATCATGGCAAAGATAAAATAACTCAGTGATTAGAGATGTAACTGTATATGCTACAAAATATCAATGGTGATCAATCAGGCTCACTTGTCCTAAATACCCAGAATGCATTGCGCTGTAATGACACATTCCCGTTCTCTATAGCAGGGCTGGTGTTGAATGATCTCTCACCGAGTCTTTGATGGCCATGAAGCAGTGGCAGATCCAGCGGCGTGTGGTTCCGTCTCGGCAGATGTAGGAGAAAGCATGCTCAAAGTTACGATCCGGCGCACAGAAAGAAACCTTCTCTATCGTCTGGTCAAGGATGAGATCCTGCAAACAGAGAGTGTTTGCAGCATATAATCAAACATCACGCTTTCAATGTAGTGCACTACTTCAGTTTAAATACAGTACGGATGTATTCAGGGAAAATAAATCAATAAATCAACCCTCTTTGATAATTAATAATGCAAAAATTACATTTATAAGGGGTTGTGTGGCAATATAAGCAGCTTCTAATGGTAAAAATGTATTAATTGTATTGTTAATAATCAGACTCGACTAAAACATTCTGCAGAGACGCTGTGATTGACATTCTCCCTTTGTACGTGTCATCAGAGGGGGAAAGCCCCGCCCACTAGTGACCATCTATATCCCTCATCAGCATCTTGCTTTTGAATCTGCCACTATGCTGAAACACAGGCATTTGTAGCTCCGCCCTCTTATGAAAAAGAGCACAATCTCATTTGCATTTAAAGTGATAGTCACCAAAACACCACAATTAGGATCAAGAGAGTTATTAAACATGATCTGTGTGGTATTTTGAAATCTAAATCACAAATCTTGTAATAAATGCCAATTTTTGGAAAAATGAGATGCGTTTGTCATCTTGAGGCTGAATAAAATGAGCTTTCTATTGATGTCTGGTTTGTAAGGATTGGATAATATTTGGACGATTTACAACTATTTGATTATGCGGAGAGCTCGAAAAATTCTAAATACAAAGAAAATCACATTTAAAGTCTTAACAATGAATATTACTATCCAAAAATGTGCTATTTATAGAGCTATGGATATACTTTTGCAAAATGTCTTCATGGAACATAATCTTTACTTAATACTCTGATGGTTTTTTGACATAAAATAAAAAAATGATATATTTTTGACTGACCCGTGGTGTTTTTGGCTTTTCCCAATAATAAACCCTGCAGCTGAAGAATGTTTTTGTGTCTCAGGGTCACATTTTTTAATTTAATTGATAAACAATCAAGCATTTTAAATGAAAATACAATTCACAAGACTCAAACCTCACTTATTTAAGGTGGCGTTTACAACTTGATTGTATCTGAATTCATTCATTCATTTTACTGTATATTATATTATATTACACTATATTATATTACATTACTCTATATTATATATTTTATTATATTATATTATATTACACTATATTATATTATATTACTCATATTATATTATATTACTGTATATTATATTATAATACACTATATTATATTATATTACATTACTCTCTTATATTATATTATATATTTTATTATATTATATTATATTATATATTTTATTATATTACATTACTCTATATTATATGATATATTATATTATATATTATATTATATTACACTATATTATATTATATTACTCATTATATTATATTATATATTTTATTATATTATATTATATTATATTATCATCATGCAAGTAAATCATGTGAGCATATTTAGCATTGTTGTGTATACTTTTATATTATTTCTCTTGTTGTTTTATTGTGTCCTTAAGTTGCCAGAAAGGCCCTTTAAATGTATTATTATTATTATTATTATTATTATTATTAAATACATTTATTAATACCTAATACTAAACACCATCTAATAAAAGTAGTTCATATTTTCCTTTTAAATAAATATTTTAGTTTTGCCAAAGTCCAGCATGCATGTATGCACCGTCACCAGCAGGTGGCAGAACAGGCTGAATTTGACAACTGCGCATGAACATCCAGGTCCAGTTCATTCATCTGCACCTCTTTCATAAATCCCACACAGAAAACAAAGTGAATCATTCAAGATCATATTTAAAAATATGATTTAAGTATTCAGTGGGATTCATAGTACATTTAAAGGTGCCGAAATGTATAGATTATAACTTTGTGCTTTGTCATTTATTGATATCAACCCATTATTTTTTTTAGTTTTTAATCAAGATGATATTACATTTTTAAAATATTTTAAAGCTGTAAACCTGTAACCACTGACTTCTACAGTAGGAAAAACAAATACTATGGAAGTCAATGGTTACAGGTTTACAGCTTTCTTCAAAATATCTTCTGTGTTCAACAGAAGAACGACTCTCGTAAAGGCTTACAAACTGTTGAGGGAGACTAAATGAGACAATTTTTCATTAACTTTAAAATAGCGAGCGATCAATAATATATGTCATTCACATATTCGCCATCACAACAACTTCAACTGTATATGATGAGGGCTATACAGTATTTTATTATTGATTACTAAATTAGTGTAGCTTAACACTGCTAGACTCGCAGATAACCATAAAGCACTGTTTATTTCACCTGCAGTTTTGCTCTACTGTATTTATCCATACTTTTATTATACAACCACAAATCAGAAAAGGTTGGGACAGAATAGAAAACGCAAAAAAAACTAAGACAGTAGTGATTTCCAAATGTGCTTTGACTTGTATTGCAGACAGTATGAACACAAAATATTTGATGTTTTGTCTGCTCAACTTCATTTCATTTGTGAATATACATCCTCTCCTGTCATTCAGACCTGCAACACACTCCAGAAACAGTGACAGGAGCAGTTTAGGTCAGTGATCAGGTGAACTGCTGAAATAGTGAAGTGGTGTGAAGTCAACAGGTGATTATGATTTGCTACAAAAGCGGCATCCAAGAAAGGTCTAGTGCTTTAGGAGCAAAGATGTGCTGAGGATCGCCAGTTTACCAACAAACACATGAGAAAATGACTGAAATAAACACAATGTTCCTCAGAGAAAGAGAGGAAGACGTGGATATTTCACCTTCAACAGTGCAGAACATCATTAAAGATTGAAGGAATCTGGAGGAGTTTCAGTGTGTAAAGAACAAGAGCGCAAGCCTAAGCTGAACAACCGTGATCTCCGATCCCTTAGGGGGCGCTGCATCAAGAATCCTCATTCATCTATAAGCCAGATCAGCACATGAGCTCAGGACTACTGTGGTAAACCTTTGTCAAGTACCACAACACAGAGTTACATCTACAAATGCCTGTAATATCTATATTGTGCCAAAAGGCAGCCCTATGTTAACAGTGTCCAGAAGCACTGTCAACTTCTCTGGGGTCAGAGGCATCTGGGATGGAGGATCACACAGTGGAAACGTGTTCTGTGCTCGGATGAATCAGTATTTCAGGTATTTTTGGGGGAGAAATGGACGCTGTGTGCTCTAGAACAATGAAGAAATCCAAACAATCCAGCAACAAGTCCAAAAGCCAGGCTCTGTCATGGTATGGGGCTGTGTCAGAGCCCTTGGCAAAGATAACTCGCACTTCTGTGATGAAAATCAATGCGGAAAAGTGCAACATGCTGCCTCCTTCTCCAGGGATTATTTCAACAAGACAATGCTGAACCACCTTCTGCACACATTACAGAGTCCCGCTGCGGAGCAAGAGGATACAGGTACTTGACTGGCCTGCCTGCAGTCCTGACCTGTCTCCAATAGAGAATGTGTGGCGCATTTTTCAGTGCAAAATGCGACAATGAAGACCCCGTATACTGTTGCCCACTATCAAGACTTGTTTGCAGGAAGACACAATGACACCTGAAACACTTCATCTCTTGGTGTCTTCAGTCCCTAAACGTCTTTTAAGTGTTGTGTAAAGGAATGGCAACATTACAGTGGGAAATGCTTTACTGATACAACTTTAAATGTGTTGCAAGAACCAAAATTAGAAATCAAACAAACAATAAAACCCAGAGGAACACATTAAACAATGTGCCATGAAATACAAGTCAAAGTAAATGTAGAAATCACTGCTGTCGTTGTTTATTTGTGTTTTCCATACTCTCCCAGCTTTTCTGATTTGGGGTTGTATTTCATCATCACAATCACTCTATAATTTATTTTTTCCTTCAGTACCTTCGTCTTGTCGTCTACAACCCTCAGCCCATCGGCAGAGACCCAGAGCACCGCTCGCACAGCCTTCTTACCCGCCTGTGTGGACACACAACACACACAATGAGAAACACAGGAGAAAACACACACACACACACACACAGGCCCTTCACCCTGCTCCACTTTCACATCAACTCTTTCACCTATCAACAACACCTGAAAATAGAGGACAGGCTCCAAAATAAACAGGTTACAGCAGCGTGAGAAGCAGACATGGAGATGAGAAATAAATGAGGAAGAAAGAGTAACCCCACACACACACACACACACACACACACACACACACTGATTGAGGAGATCGTCTCCACACACTTACCTAAGTGCAGGAAAATCACAAACACACTTCCATTAAATAAAAGCAAACAACAATTCTCGATTGACCCCTTCACACACACACACACACATTTCTACTGCTGCTGGAGCAGACTAGTCCGTCAGTGAACACACATTCACACTCGTTTGAGTCCCTTAAACATACTGTATGCAGGTACGCAAACACACACACATAATTAGGATGGATGCATCACGTTGACTGTAGTAGTTCATTAAGAGTGTCTGTGTTTGATGATTCAGTTATTTTTTGTTCATGAATGGTTATGAGTTGCATTATGGGACCTTGAGCTCTGCTTTGTCGATTTTTAATGTTATAAATTAAACAGTGTGGTCACTCATATCGCCATCTAACTAGCTTAAACACTGCACTGTACCGCTAAACAGAGCTGGACACGCCCACTTTTCTGACTTTTTCCAAAGTAGAGGTGTGAAAACACCCTGCTGAAACGAGAGGGTTTCATGGCCCTTTAAAGTATATTTCACCCGAATACATCCAAATTCATCCAAAACTAAAAATTCTGTGACCGTTAACTCACCTTTACTTGTTCCAAACCGGTTTATTTTTTTTTCTGATGTTGAACAATAATATTTAATAAGTTTTAATGTCTTTGGTTGTTGAAAACTTGAACAGTAAATGCTGAATTTAGATTTAGTTCTTTTGTTTATTATTTTATTGGTTATATTGACAGCTAAAACATTTCACTAAATGTGTTAAATCAGCTGCACAAAGCAATTGGCATGCTGAAAATCTTATAAAATTGATAGATATAAAGATTTTACGTTTATTGTGATAAATATCGATATCGACTCATGTGAAAAAAATATCGTGATAATTTTTTTTGCCATATCGCTCAGCTCTAGTAGGAACAGTACAAAATATCTTCACAAAGCATCATATTCACTTAATATCCTAATAATGTTTGGCATAAAACATTAATTGATTATTTTTAACCCATGACGTCTTATTGGCTTTAGTCAGAAATACACCTGCTCAACATAAACATCATATAAAGATCAACAAAATCCCCTTCTCAAACCATTTGATTACCCTAATTACCCTGACTTTACCCTAGTGAAGCCTTTAAATGTGTCTTGAAGAATATCTAGTCTAATATTATTTACTGTAATCATGACAAAGAGAAAAGAAATCAGTGATTAGAGATGAGTTATTAAAACTATTATGATTAGAAATGTGTCTTTCCATTAAACAGAAGTTTAAAAAATATACAGGGGGGCTAATAATTCTGACTTCAACTGTATGTATAATATATGATATAATCACAGAGAAGGTTTTGGACCCAAACCCGCTCAGATGAAGACCTTTGCTTCACAGTGCTCATGTTCACATGCTTGCATACAGAATGTCTGGGACGGCACATTAAACGCACACAGCAAAACTTACTTTTTTAAAGAAGCCCTTGAAGACCTTTCTGTCCTGGAATGGAGGGTGGATAAGGGGATGTCGGTGGGAGGAAAAGGCAGGAGAGGGTTACAAATGAACGGAGACACATGGACTCTCTGCTTTTCAGGGGGTTTGTATGGTTAAAATGAGAAAGTGGTGTGGTATGGAGAGGAGAGGAGGGGGGAAATAAATAAATAAATGAATAAATCACACCTCTAGCACACCCATCAGACGCCAAACTCACCAGGTTGTTTGGTGTGTTTTGATGGTTATGGTTCTAGCACTATCACTGCATACTACGTGAGTTTGATTATTTCTGTGATCATTTAGGAATAGCTCACACACACAATGAAAATATCGAGCATTTAGCAATCATTTACACACCCTCATGTGATTGGGACAATGACATTTAACGTTTTTATTTAGTGACTACCTGTATTTGATTTAATTTTTGCACTTTGGTAATTTGCTTAATGACGATTGGGTTAAGGGGAGGGGGTGTATGCCGCTTTTACTGACAGTATGATAAAGGATAAAAATAGATATGTTATAATTTTTATTAATGCTCATAAACAAACAGTTAATTATATGTCAAGTGCAAATACACTGAAATAAATAAGCAGTAACTCTGATGAAAGCTAAAAACAATAAGACTTTTCATAAGACTTTATATACTGCACATAATAGTGAATTTTATAGAAATCTAATAGAATTTTATGAGTTTGAACTGCTGTAAATGACAAACAAATATGTGTATGTTAATTCAACTTAATTTACTGAGCTAATCAGGAATCAACTCTTACAAATCTTTTAAAATCTAATAAAGTTTAACTTAATATTTTTAGTCAGTATAATTGATGTAAGTTGAGATGACTAGAAAAGTTGATTTGATTTAACTAAAAAAAACTTACATTTTACTTTTTTAACATTGTATCAAGTCATATCGGTTCATTTTACAGCACCTTTGGTTTGCATATCCTTTTTTGGAAAAGAGCAGCATGAACATGCCATTAAATATCTCCTTTTAAGATTCACAAAATAGCTATCCCAGTTTAGTTGAGTGAGGGTGAGTAAATCATGACTGGATTTACTTTTATTTCTTTATTTGTAGTGAACTATTCCTGTGAATGTAATGGTGTTATGGTGTTAGTGACGGCAGCAGCTCTGTGAGTGCTAGTTCATTAGGATTCACTCTGATGGCCTCTCAAATCGCTCTCTAAAAGCCAAGACACATGAAGAACCACAGTGAAAGAGCTGATCTTGGCTCTGGAGTTCACTGATCCCAAACACGCATCACAGCTCACAGAGAAGAAGACCACCTCAAAATAACTCTTAGGCCACATACACACCGCTATTATGGTCAACTCAAACAAAACAAAATTAAAAGAAATGAAGAGAAATCAATGAAATGAAACGAAGCTAGATAAAATGAAGCGAAATGAAGCAAAACGAATGAAACTAAATAAAACGAGGCAAAACGAATGAAACAAAACAAACAGAAACGGAGCTAAACAAAATAAAACAAAATGAAATGAAGCAAAATGAATTAAACGAAATGAAATTAAACAAAGCTAAACAAACGAAACAAAATGAAGCAAAATGAATTAAACAAAGCTAAACAAACGAAACAAAATGAAGCGAAATGAATTAAACAAAATGAAATTAAGCAAAATGAATTAAACAAAATGAAACGAAACAAAGCTAAATAAAACAAAGCCAAGTGAAGCAAAACGAATGAAGCAAAACAAAACAAAATAAAATGAAGCTAAATGAAACAAAACAAAATCAAATCATTTGAAAAAAATGAAACGTAACAAAGCAAAATGAAATTAAATGAAACAAAATTAAGTAAAATAAAACAAATAAAATGAAACAAAAATAAACTAAACTAAATTAAACATAACAAAACAAATTAAATTAAATGAAACAAAGCAAAATGAAACTAAACAAAGCTAAACAAATCCAATGAATGAAACGAAATAAAACGAAGCAAAATGAAATAAAATCAAATGAACTGAAACAAATGAAACGTAACAAAGCAAAATGAAACAAAAACTAAACGAAATGAAACAAAATGAAGTAAAATAAAACGGTTGAAATTAAAAAATTAAGCAGAACAAAATTAACGAGACAAATAAATTATATGCAATGAAACAAAGCGAAACAAAGCTAACCAAAGAGAAGTGAAACGAATCGAAACAAACCAAATCGAAATGAAACAAAGCGAAACAAAGCTAACGAAAGAGAAGTGAAACGATTCTAAATGCACCAAATCGAAATGAAACAAAGCGAATGAAACAAAAAAAAATTTATCAAAACAAAAAGTATTCCTTGAACTAGTGTCTGAAGCTACATATTAACTAGCATTTCTTATGTTTATTGTCTCTTTATGATTAATCATTTCTTTATTTATTATTTGTATAAAAAGCATTGGATGAAGACGTTTGCTAAATTAATAACTGTAAATTCATCCACTTAAAATTTTATTACTTTAAAATAAACATTAACTAAAATAAATGAAAATTAACTTTAATTTATATATATATATATATATATATATATATATATATATATATATATATATATATATAAACCTCATATTTCTCAGTATTATCTACATTTTTAGCCCTCCCGTGAATTCTTTTTTTAAATATTTCCCAAGATTCCCATCACTGTTTTTTCTTGAGAAATAATTAAGACATAAAAAATGTGCGATGATCTGCCTAATAAACATAACTTACCTCAAATTACGTCTAGAAATGTCACTTAAATCTACTAGTATCTTGCAAAACAACCAGCAAAATATTATGAACTGTCATCATGGCAAAGAAAAAAAGAAACGAGTCACTAAAACTACTCTAACTACTGATTAATTAATTATTTAGTTATTTCACAGAAGGGATACTCATTTTGTCTGGTCTGCAACTGTGTGTGTGTGTGTGTGTTATATAATTATGCATATTATTTGCATCAATTTCATTCTGTAAACACACACACACACACACACACACACACACACACTCAGTGGTTATTTATATGAATGACAGCAGCATCTACTACTGAATCGACACACCTCACGGCGGCGTCATGTTTCTTGTTTACAGCTACGTGACTCCACTACATTGCAGTGCTTATTGCTATGGCAACCAGCGTGAGGCAGCGCGCCTGCATGCAGTATTTCATGCAGCAGTCCCTTTATAAACGTATCCGTCACTCAGTCCCTGACCTGCGCAGTGTGTACGTGGCCTTTCTAAATCAGGAAGTGCAAGAGTCACTTCCTGCCACCAGTTTGGGTTTCACTTCAAGTAATCACACAACCACCGTAACCATTATTATAACCGAATCCCACATATCTTAAGGGCACAGAAAGAGGTGAGGGTTACAGAGGGTTATCGTTATAGTTCATACACGCACGCACACACACACACAGCCAGAGAAGAAAGCGATGCTCATTGGGTTAGAGAGGAGAGGATTAAGGGGTCAGAGAGGATCGAGATGCTCTTATCTGAACAAAACCTGCTTAAACAAAGAGAACATCGTAATGCATTCACATCAGTACATATGTGCACACAGACGGAGGATCTGCTGGACAGTATCTGCTACTGGAGACACTGGGGAAGAGAGGGTGTAGGAACTGAAGGATAAACACACAAATACAGGATTCAGGAGGCAGACGGAAACAGGAGAAACTAGAGGAAGGAAAGTGTCCTTATTAAAATCTGCAACAGAATCTGCTTTCATTTCCACATTGAGTGTAAGCTGGGGCGACGAGCTGGCCCAGTGGGTGGCACTTTCCCTCACAGCAAGAAGGTCGCTGGTTCGAGTCCAAACACATCATGCACTTAAGCTGAATTGTCCGTAGTGTATGACTGTGAATGAGTGTGTATGGGTGTTTTCCAGAGATGGGTTGCAGGTGGAAGGGCATCCGCTGTTTAAAACATGTGCTGGATACGTTGGCGGTTCATTCCGCTGGGGTGACTCCGGATTAATAAAGGGATTAATGTATATTCATGTATATGTACATGCATGCATTTCAGCATCTCAGTGGAGTGCTTATAAGCGCAGACAGGGTCAAAAATGTCTTTATTTTTAGGTTTTGTTGTGCAAAAATAAACGTTATTTGAAAATAAAGAAAGACAAAATCGTTAGTGTTGTGCTTTTATTTCTGTGCTGTTAAATATAATTTTTTTATATGTTAGAAATATAATATTACACATAGAGTGATAGTAATTTGAATGCATTTTTAATCTGTCATTATTTTAATAATGAATATTACTAGTATTATTATAATTATCCATATTGTTGTTGCAATTATTATTCTAAATTATAATAATATTACTATAATTATTCTTACTACTACCACATTATATTTCACAATTATAAATCAATCACTACATTAACTTTTGAATGTTTTTATTTTAATATTACAAATATAGTAATATTAATTTTAATACGATTGTTTTCCTTTTTAACATTTTTATAATAATATTAATAATATCTTAAAATATTATTATCATAATTATACTTAGAATTATACTTTTTGTTACTGCTATTATTGATATTATTGTTATTATTGATATTATTGTTATTATTGATATTATTGTTATTATTGATATTATTGTTAATAATAAAAATGTATAATAATGACAATAATATTATTATAATTACTTTTACTACAATAACATCACATTCTATTTATAATAAAAAAAATATTTAAAAATTATAATGCATTATTTCACATTATATATAATCACTACATTGTTTTTTGAATTTAATTTGTATTTTAATATTACAAATAGTGATAGCAACCTAATACAATTGTTTTAATTTGTAGCATTATGTTTATAATAATAATAACAATTTACCAAAACATTATTATTATAATTATACTTATAAGTGTACTGTTACTGCTATTTATTATTATTATTATTATTGTTATTATAATTACTATTACTACTACAACATCATATACTATTTATAATTAAAATATTATTATTTAACTTTACAATCATCTATCACTCACTACATTCTTTTTTAATTGTTTGTATTTAAATATTACAAATTAAAAGTAAATAAGGATTATTATAATAATAATATTTTTATTATTATTATTGATAATAATGACAATAATATTAATAATAACATTAATATTAATAACAATAATGATGATGATAATAATAATAACAATAATAAAATAATAATAATAATGATAATAATGATGATAATAATAATATTGATAATAATGGCAATAATATTAATAATAACATTAATATTATTAATAATAATGATGATGATAATAATAATAACAATAATAAAAATAATAATAATGATTATAATAATATTGATAATAATGACAATAATATTAATAATAACATTAATATTAATAATAATAATGATGATGATAATAATAATAACAATAATAAAATAATAATAATAATAATAATGATGATAATAATAATATTGATAATAATGACAATAATATTAATAACATTAATATTATTAATAATAATGATGATGATGATAATAATAATAATAATAACAACAATAATAAAATAACAATAATAATAATAATGATAATAATAATGACAATAATATTATTAATAATAATAAGGATGATAATAATAATAATAACAATGATAATAATAACCATGATGATAATAATAATAAAATAATAATAATAATAATATTTTATTGTTGTTGTTATTATTATTTTATAATAATTATGATTATTGTTATTATTACTAGATTACATACTATTTATAATAAAAATATTATTTTAAAAAATTGTAATGTAACAATACCTAACATTGTAACATTTTCAGTCGTAACTTGAGCATGACGAGTCCTCTGATGCTACATGTACGTCTTTATTCATGGAGTATATAGGCCTACAGTTCAACATTCATGTTTAACTGAATAAACATTTAGTAAACACGAGTACATCTTATAGGGTGTATGCCAAAGCATGCTAATAGGACTTTTAATTTGCCAGTAACCTGGGTTAAGTGCTTCCAGTGAACTGTATAGCGTTGCAAAATCGGCATGTTTAAAGTCTGTTTTCTTTAAAAATCAGCGATGTCCACTAGCTGAGTGATATCCAATATAAAGTGGGTCTCAGATTGTACAAGAAGCACTGCATTAAATTACATTTCCCCCGCCATTGTTTTATAATATGAGCATTTATTTTACCCCAGTATATTCAATGGAGCTTCTGCGCTAACCTGAGGATTCTGACAGGCGCGTGCGAGTAAATGACTTTTTGTCTCGTTTTACGATTGAGCAACTAAATAAATGCCAAAGTCTGTTTAACTGAATGTAATTTAATGACATTACAACATCGATGCTGTAAAAGGAACCGTATAAAATGAAAAAAAAAAACTCACAATACAGGTCACCGGACGTTTATCAGTATGGGAACAACACTAGCTCGGCATACACTCTATTGAACATCATTTATTTTCATCACCAATTATCAGAGTTAGACAGTTTCTCAAGCAGTTTGTGTTGCATTTTGGAAACAGGAGATGAGCCCCTGGTCTAATGCGCCACCTGGCTTGAGAAACCCGTTCTCAAAGACTAGCACATATTCTGAATGCCTTCGGCATAATTCAAATGAGCCATTTTAAACTAGATTAATTCCAAGATTACAGTGAGATTCATCTAGATTAAAAAATAATCTATGCCCACCTATAGTTATTTAATGTTTACCCAAAAATGGACATTCTGTCACCATTTCCCCTTGAGTTTCTGGAATGCTGGAAGAAACCCATTGACTTCCAGAGTATTTTTTGTTTCGTCTATGAAAGGCAATGACTAGTCAATTAAATATCTTGTTTTGTGTTCAACAGAATAGACTCAAACAGACGTGGAACCATTTGAGTTTGGGTAAATGGTGAGTAAATTTAATTTCTGGCTTCCGACATAATGACACAAAGGCCGTCAACTGAGCTCAACTAGTTTTAAACCTGGAACATCTTGTGATTTTGTGAGAGACAGAAGAGGAAGAGAACTGCGGGAGAAGACAGACAGACAGACAGACAGACACTTTAAATAGATTAGCTGGTGTCGTCTGCAGGAGGACAGACACTGAGCAGACTCTTAAGGTGAATAACAGGAGATCTGACAGAGGAAGCCTGTGTGTAAATGTGCGCATGTGTGCAAAACCTACCGTCTTCAGCTTCTTAACAGCATCCTCACATATGTGCATGCCACGGGACTCCTCGACCTCCACATGCCCCAGATACTACACAAAAACAAGGAAGCAAACAGGAGTTTAGCTTTGAAACTCTGCTTTTATCCGCATTTTGGAATATCAGAAAAGAAAATGCTTAAAGGCGACCAGTTAGTCCCCTTTTTACAAGATGTAAAATGCGTCTCTGATGTGCCTAGAGTGTGTGTATGAAGTTTCAGCTCAAAATAGCACACAGATCATGTTCTCTAGCTCTCTGAAACCGACCCTTTTAGGCTTTGATCCTAATTGCGGTGTTTTGGTGACTGTCGCTTTAAATGCAAATGAGAGTGTGCTCTTTTCAGAAGAGGGCGGAGCTACAAATGCATGTGTGTCAGCATAGTGGCAGATTCAAAAACAAGACTGACGTCCTATGCTAATGAGGGAGAGATGGCCACCAGTGGGCGGGGCTTTCCCCCTCTGATGACACGTCCAAAAGGCAGAATGTCAATCAAAGTGTTCATCCCTCCTAGCTCTTCAGGTATGTCACGCGCAACTCACCCTCACCGTCCTTTAGGTACATTTCGCGCGCACACGCCGCTACTCAGATACGTCGCTCACTCCACCCCTGACACCCCTCAACGGGCCTAAAACAGACACACACACAACGCGCTGGAGCGACTCCCCTCAGATTCAACACGCATGATCACGTTCATCAAATTTGCTTAAACTAAGCGTCCTAAAGTATTACTGTATTTCACAAGGATTCTGACACAACAAGGCGAAGCATACGCTTTCACTGCGTTTAATGAGGAAACACGCTAAACTTGGAGGGTTCATGCTGAAAGGCAGAGTAATGCCCTGTCTTTGACAGCTCCCGACTTCACCAGAGACTTTCTGAGTACATTTACATAAGACACCAATACTCTGGTTTTAATATGATTAAGATAGTACTCTTATTAAAAGTGTACCGTGTAGCCTAAGCAGTGATTTTATTACCATAAAGGAACACCGAGTCATGAAATGCGGAGGATTTTCTTTCTGTTCGCCACGCGGTATCAACTTACAACAGAAACAAAAAGTGCTTCCTTGTCTTATTCACATTTCTTGCATGTTGAACACACATCCACCACAACAGGAAGTAAAAAAAAACCTGCAACTGCGTTAATTGCGTTCAATTTTTTAACGCATTAATTATTTAAAATTAACCGCATTTTGACAGCGCTAGAAAATACCTTTACGGAATGATAGCGGGAACTGTAAAATATGGGAGAATCCTGGGAAAAACAGGAGGGTACACAGGTATGCATATTTATCCATGCCTAATATCCGATGGCCAGAAAGTGACATATTTTGTATAAATCGTTAAAATATTGGTGTCTGTCCTGATGTGTACACCATGATTTTATATCAAATTTACTTTGACGTGTGATATGATTTTAAAAAATGCCCATAAACAATAGCCTAGTTGTTAGCGAGCCGACATATTGTGCAGTAGCACGTCAGGAGCGTCCCGAGTTCGAATCCCGGCTTGAGGACATTTCCCTACCCTACCCCCTAGAGGTGTGAACCTACACTAGTCTCACGGTTCGGTTTGGTTACGATTATCATGCCATCGATTCGGTTCAATTCGATATTTCTGTGCATCACGGTGCATTGACGATGCTTTCCATACACAGTTTTTTATTTTCTTCACAGCAGCAGTTCTTGTATTAAAATGTATGAATATATTTATATTTACTATTTGTAATACAATTGTCATTAAATACAAACAGTCAGATATATAAACTGTAACTTAAAACAAAACGAGCATTTAGCAAATAATATAAACAAATATAAATATCCAGCTCACTCTCTGATCCTTGTCTAGTTCTCTTACACCTCTTTAATTGGTCACACCCTCAAAAAAAAAAACTGTTGCGATTGGCTCTTGCGCGCTGCGTTCTTCAAAGATGAGTGATGCTGACCGTACGTTCACACCGAAAGCGGCGAGAGCGTCCAAGGTCGCTCTGGACGCCTTGGCGACAACGCTCTCTGCCTTCAGCTCCTGCGGCGAGAGCGTCAAAACTCGCTACATTGATCTCGTATTTAAAGGAGCCGTTGCATCATATCAGTTACACTCCTGCATAAAACATGTTTCTAGCGTGAAAATGTTGCGCACTTCTTATCAAATTCATACAACAATGGAAGATCAAGTTGCGTGTGGCTTTGCTCTATTTATCCAATATGTGTCCATATGTCTGAAATATCCTGAAGCAGCAGTAACGTACTGTTTTGTAATGTCACATCGCGTGAGATTCCCGCTTTTTTAAGATAAATATATAACATTAATGAACATCAGTAACTCGCCAGTAACTTATTTAATGTATGTTCCTGTAAGAAAACATTGTAAATAATTGGAAATCCGGCGACCGCAATAATCAAACCCTTGGGAACAACTGTAGTCGGAACCAAAGTTCACAGGTCTGTGTTCCCTGAACTGCTATCAAGCGGTGGACGTCTTCATTCTGATTGCTTGCCGCCGAACCGCGTCATAGTTCATTACCATAAAGTTGACTTCATTTCAACTCTCCTTGACGCTCACGCCGGCGAAAACGCGCCGCGCTGATCCTCGCCGCTTATCGCCGCATATCGCCGCCGGCTCTCATTGAAAATGAATGACTTCCGGCTACTTTGACGCTCACGCCGCTTTCGGTGTGAACGTACGGTGATAAGCGGCAGGCGGCAGCGGCGATCTCACAGCTGATGTATGATAGACACGGTGGAGAAAACTCTGCAGACATGCGCTGTGTGTGTGAGAAAGAGAGAGAGAAAGAGAGACAGAGACAGAGCGAGAGACAGAGCTCGCGCGAGAGAGAGAGAGAGCGAGAGACAGAGATCGCGAGAGAGAGAGAGAGAAATGGAGTAGGCTACTTTCATTCTCTCGATCTCAGTGTAATAGGGGCTATTGTTGTATTTGTCAGTGAAAGACTGATCCAGCAAACACACAGTGAAATTGTGCACAGTTTGAGTTTTGAGTAGCTAAAGCGCTGTAAATACTCGCGATCGCCTCTCTCGCGACAGAGCGCATATGAGGTAAATGACGTCAGTAATAACCGGTTATGATTATTACTGAACCGATACCGAACTGTCCGCGTCTGCATCGCAGTGCACCGAAAAACGATTATTTTTGACCCCCCCCCCTCTCTCTCTTTAACTTTATTCCCGGTCTTAATACTGTCCTATCCACTTAATAAAGGAAAAAAACGGCCAAAAATAAACCTTTAAAAGAAACATAAACAAATATTTTCTTAATTCAAATGAGTAGTGGATGCACCTGGAAACAGTACTACATACGTCACGACTTAACAAGCGGATAATAAAGAGTTACCAAAAAAACACCACAGTGGCAAATCCCAACAGCGCACCAAACTCCATTTCTCAGTCTGACAGTTGGCGTCAGCTTATCAGGAAGTGATGATGTAGTTCTCTTTGATTCATTGGATGGAAGCGCTGCTTTATTCACAAATGTTTTGGAAACACCGCTAGTGTTTCCTGCTCTGACAGGAAGAGGTCACACAGTCCTGTCTCTTCCTGCTGGAGCTCCTGTATTGGCGTCCTCTGCACACCACTGAAGACACGGCCGCGTCTCGCCCTCATGGGAACTCTGAGGTCAGGCCAAAAGGCGGACGGCTATTGTAGTGAGAGGAAGTCCTTCCCCTAGTGAAACACACAGGAGCTGCTCCACTATTGTCAATGTGTAGGGAGAGACACACAGGAGAGCCCCTGCTTATTCCTTATTCACACTGAACATATCCAACCATTGAAAACTGCTGAAAATAGCTGATCAATAGCCAAAACAGACATGTTTTTTGTTCATCACAGGCTGATGGAAACCCAGCTACTGATGTACACACGCCTCAATCTGCGCTGCATGGAGTGTATTTCTGATCAGCAGCTGGAGAAATAAGAGCTGAGATGATGAGAGTGAATCTGGGCCAGAACAACACGTCGAGCTGCTCGTTTACCCTGACCTCAGAGCCTGACTGAATAAACCAGAGGAAAAACACGCACGCACACACACACGCACACACACACACACACACACACACACACACACACACACACACACACACACACACACAGGGAAAGAAGATAGATAGAGAGACACACGTTCATCTCTGCTTTCGTGATGATCTATTTGTGTGTGTGTGTATGTGGTAAATCAGAGACGCGTTCAAAGAGGTTGAAGACTGCATGGTGAAGATTACAGCCAATCACGACAAACATCAGCAGCTGGGTTTCCATCAGTGTGTGTTAATCTGCATTTGAGTCTAATAATAAATCTGTGGCTATAAATATAGCCGGCTAGTGTTTTATACGCAGACTTGCTAAAAACAGTCTGCAGAGACACTTTGATTGACATTCTCCCTTTGTACGTGTCACCAGAAGGGGAAAGCCCCGCCCACTACTGAGCATCTCTCCCTCATTAGCATAGGACGTCAGTCTTGTTGAATCTGCCACTATGCTGGCACATGGGCATTTGTAGCTCCGCCCTCTTCTCACAATCTCATTTGCATTAAAAGCGACAGTCACCAAAACACCACAATTAGGATCAAAGAGAAAAGAGAACATTATTAGCTTGGTGTTTTGAGCTGAAACTTCACTACACACACTCAAAGACATCAGAGATGCGTTTTACATCTTGAAAAAATGGTCACCTTTAAGAAAATACATCCAAATTATGCAGTTTGTCTAAATGGATCAACAGTTTTATTCACATCACCTCATACTTCAGGCCTGAGCATGACTGACAGCTGCAGGTGTGTACAGGTATATGTGGTTGACAGGGACACGAAGATGTACACTTACTGGCCACTTTATTAGGTACACCTTACTAGTACCAGGTTGGACCTTCTTTTGCCTCCAGAACTGCCTTAATCCTTCGTGGTGTAGATTCAGCAAGCTACTGGAAATATTCCTCAGAGATTTCACTCCATATTGACATGACAGCATCACACAGTTGCTGCAGATTTGTCGGCTGCACATCAAAATGCCAATCTCCCGTTCCACCACATCCCAAAGCTGCTCTATTGGATTGAGCTCTGGTGACTGTGTAGGACATTTGAGTACAGTGAACTCATCGTCATGTTCAAGAAACCAGTCTGAGATGATTGAGCTTTATGACATGCTGCGTTATCCTGCTGGAAGTAGCCATCAGAAGATGGAGACAGTGTGCTCATAAAGGGATGGACTATTGTCCAGTTTTGGTGAGTCTGTGTGAACTGTAGCCTCAGTTTCCTGTTCTTAGCTGACAGGAGCGGCACCCGGTGTGGTCTTCTGCTGCTGTAGCCCATCCGCCTCAAGGTTGGCCGTGTTGTGTGTTCAGAGATGCTCTTCTGCAGAGCTCGGTTGTAACGAGTGCTTATTTAAGTTACTGTTGCCTTTCTATCAGCTGGAACCAGTCTGGCCATTCTCCTCTGACCTCTGGCCTCATCAACAAGGCATTTGCGCCCACAGAACTGCCGCTCACTGGATATATCCTCTTTGTCGGAGCATTCTCTGTAAACCCTAGAGATGGTTGTGCGTGAAAATCCCAGTAGATCAGCAGTTTCTGAAATACTCAGAGCAGCCCGTCTGGCAGCAACAACCATGCCGCGTTCAAAGTCACGTAAATCCTCTTTCTTCCTCATTCTGATGCTCAGTTAGAACTGCAGCAGATCGTCTACATGCCTAAATGCATTAAGGTGCTGCCATCTGATTGGTTGATTAGAAATATGTGAAACCAAATAGTTAGAGAGGTGTACCTAATAAAGTGGCCGGTGAGTGTTTATTGACATAGTTGTACTGGCAGCACGGTAGCTCAGTGGTTAGCACTGTGCCCTCACAGCAAGAAGGTCACTGGTTCGTGTCCGGGCTGGGCCAGTTGGCATTTCTGTGTGGAGTTTGCATGGAGTCTCCCTGTGTTGGCGGGTGTTCCGGTTTCTCCCACAGTTCAAACACATGAGCTATAGGGCAATTTGTCCGTGAATGTGTTTGTCTGTGAATGTGTGTGTGTGTGTGTGTGTGTGTGTGTGTGTGTGTGTGTGTGAAAGAGTGTGTATGGGTGTTTCCCAGTACTGGATTGCAGCTGGAAGGGCATCCGCTGCGTAAAACATTTGCTGGAATAGTTTGTGGTTCATTCTGCTGTGGCGACTCCTGATGTATAAAGGACTAAACCGAAGGAGAATGAATGAATGAATGAATGTAGTTGTCCTCTATTAAGGTGGTTAACAGGGTCACACCTCGTGTCCCTCTAAGTCAAAACTCTTAAAAATTCAATTGAACAAAGTCTTTAGATGTTCAAGTTTTGCCACAGGTATCCTAAAAGGCTTGGGTTTTTTGGTAGTGGTGGGGTAGGGCCATAATATAAGCAGTTTTTACTGTTATAAACATATTACAAGGATGGAGTATGCGCGTGTGTGTATGTGTGTGTGTGTGTGTGTGTGTGTGTGTGTGCATCACCTTGACGGCAAAGCTGCATTTGCCTCCGCGTACAGCCTCTTCATCGGTCTGCCACTGGTGCGGCCGGCTGGACTCTGGCACATAAACGTCTTTCTTTCGCCGGAAACTCTGCCGTAGCTTATTCATCGCTGAACCTCCTCCTGCAGAACAAACACAGACCCGCTTCAGAGCGATGCCAACAGACCTTAAAACGAACACAATAACAACATAAAGCCTGCTGCTTAAAAGGGACCGTCCACTCGACCCAACAAACTTATGAGTATCTTTTTCAGCTGAACACAACAGAAGTGTGTTGTCTTGTTGTTTTTATTCCTCTACTATGCACATCATTGGTTGCAGGCTTCCAACATTCTTCAAAACATCTTCTTTTGTGTTCAGCAACTCATAAAGATTGGTGCATTTTGGTGTGAACCATCGCTTTAACACACCTCAGTAACTCAAAAGCAAACAGAGTACATCATAGACCTCTTTGCAGAAGTTTTCACTTGGTGATGTCAAACATTAACCCTGTTTATTGCACACCGATATCATGTAGGGCCTTGAGAACACTGAACACACGTTCTGCGGTGGGACCGGTTTCAAGGTTTACCACGGTTTGAAAAAGTCAACATGTTAAACTGTTCCTACGGTAAATGTACCTCACACACATGCACACACTCATGCAGAAACTCAGATATACACACTAACACAACACATACACACACACATTTACTGTACACTCATGTACTAACACAAAGCACTAACAAAAACAAACACACGCATTAACACAAACACACACATGTATACACACATGTATTAACACACAAGCACTAATATGAACGGAAACACGCTTATGCACACACATATTCACACACATGCACACTCAAACTAGCACAAACATACACATGCACACTCATTCTAGCACTAACACGCACACAACACACACATGCAAACTCAAACTACACCCACGCACATGCAAACACAAGCACGCACTCTCAAACACACACAATCTCACACATGTTCTAACATACCTACACACATTATACTCGCTCACATACACACACACACACACACACACGCACTTGTCTCAGAGCTGCTGCAGATGAGTGACCTGCAGACTCAAACACACAGCAGAGCATTCAGACGCTCAAACCTCCACTAATGAAAGCAACACATTTACATTTACACTCCGCAAGATCAGATTTCAACTGCATAACGTGACGCTCATTTGAATGAGCCAGCAGACACACACACAAACACACACACTGAAAAAACAGCTTGCCTTGAAACCACAAGAGCACATTAACATATAACATATTAACGTGTGTGTGTGTGTGTGTGTGTGTGTGTGTGTATACATATACATTAATTAACATAATAATTATGAGGTTCTATCTGCGACTGAATGATTTAGAGATATCGAGCTTCAAAGTTTTCGCATTCCATATAGCAAACAGTCTGTGTGTAACACTTGTTATTTAAATAATAAGTCTTAAAATGTAAACAACTTTTAAAAATAAAACATCCCATAATGTAAATAAGTTGTCATTTAAAAAGAATGTCAATAACTCAATTTTGACAAAAATGTCAGAGAGAACCTGATAACTCTGAGGGTGCTTTCACGCCTACACTTTTGTTTTGGAACCTGTCTCGTTTGCCCGGTTAGCGCGGTTCGTTTGGCGTATGTGAACAGGGCAATCGCGATCTGTTCCGCGCCAAAGTAATCGCTCCGAGATCGCTTGAACGAGGTGGTCTCGGCTCGATTGAAACGAACCCTGGAGCGGTTCGATTGCAGTGAGAAAGCGATCCGATCAGAGCGCGGTTATATCACAGTGTTTTATGGATATGTAATAGGCTTACAGCTATACGAAGAGAGAATTATGATTAGGGCGGGAAGTTTCGCGAGTCTCCGGATGCCCGCAAACGCCTCCCGGTCCTCAAATAGGCATCGTCGCGCACCCTTCTCACCCCTCCCCACCGCGTCTCTCCTCAGACACGTCGCGCGCACCCTGTCAAACACCACCAAACCACCACCTCTCCTGACAGCTGAGCGGGACGCTGCAAAACAAACCCTGACACTCTGACCAATGTGAGGAGAGTTTACTCACACGTGACTTGTTTTAGCTCTTTTGGTCCGATTAGAAACTTTGCAGTGTGAAAGCGAACCGCTCCAAGAGCAAAGAGCAACACTGTAACAATTGTAATCTCTGTTTCGGAACAACTGAATCCATTCACAGGTGTGAACGCACCCTAAGACGATGATTTGCATATGTTAATCTGGCATATATGACATGCTTTGATATTGGCTGAAAATAATCTGCATATTTATAGTGCTGTGGTTCATTAAGGTCATTTAATTCGATAAGTATTAATTAAATTCACGTTTATTTATTTGTATATTGTTCGCAATAGTTATTGTTTCAAAGCAGCTGCACAGAAGGTGCACAGTACTGCACTACAATCATATTCGGAAAGGTTCAGGTTGTTATTCAGGAACATTATTAGTAACTAATAACTTTATTTAACATTTAACAAACAGCTTTAAAGGTATCTAATTGGTAAAGTTAGTATATATAAACATGGTCAACCAGCAGTTATATAGTATAATCTTAGCTGATGTTAGTTTTTAATAATAATTAATAATTAGTTAATTAACGAATCCTCAGAATTAAAACTAAAGTTATGGAAAGAAGATATAGAAGATGAAATATCACTAGAAGACTGGAATGAGGCATGTAGGAAAGCTCAGATACAAACAATCAATAGAAGCCTGAAACTCGTACAGTACAAATGGTTAATGCGAACATACATAACTCCTGCTATATTGCACAAGTTTAATGATAATATTCCAGATACCTGTATAAAGTGCAATGAGGTAAGAGGAACACTTTATCACTGTATTTGGGAATGTGTGAAAGTGAAACCCTTTTGGCAAGATGCTATTGAAAAAATTGACCAAATTTTAATAAAGAAATTACCATTGGATCCTAAAGATTTTTATCCTGGGTACATTTCCTGTCAGCTCTCTCTTACAAAGAGGTCAGATTCATAAACGTGTATTTTACAAGCTAAACGTATTATTGCTCTTAATTGGAAAAATATAAATGAACCTAGAATAGGAAAGTGGATTAAAGAAATGGCATTGCATATGTCAATGGAAAAGATCAAGTACATTGTCAAAAAGAAACAAAATGTGTTTGAAGATATCTGGAGACCTTTTAATAACTTTCTAAAGTACAATGTAAATGTGGACCGTCTACTACAACTAGAACAAGCTTAGGAATATGGAAAGTATCATGATCTAAACAGACTACCTGATTTAAACATATCCCCCCCCTTTTTTCCTCTTCCCCCCTTTTTTATTATATTTATTTATGTTTATTTATTTTTGTTTAATTAATTTACTTATTTATTATTATTTTATTTGTTTTATTTTATTTAAGGCAATGGGTTGGGAGGGAGAATGGGGGGTAAAAAGTTTGCTGTGCCTTCATGATTATTGTTCTGTAATTGTGTAATCTGTTGTGATGTGCAAATTGAAAAAACTAATAAATATAGTGTACAAAAAAAATGTGTTAATAATACGAATTAGTTAATTAGTTAATAATTATGACTTAATTAATAATAACTAATAATTAGATTCTAATAATAATCATTTTATTGAATGGCATTCATAAATAATAATATGCAGTTGTATTTTTTGTATTAACATTCATTTATTAACTTTTTTTCAGCTTAGTTCCTTTATTCATCAGGGGTCACCACAACGGAATGAACCGCCAACTATTCCAGCATATGATTTAATTCTAAGGTGTCGATATATATATACAGTTGAAGCCAGAATTAATAGCCCCCCTAAATTATTAGCCCCCTTATCTATTTTTTCCACGTATTCTTTTAAACGGAGAGAAGATTTGTTTGAGCCCATTTCTAATCATAATATAGTTTTAATAACTCATTTCTAATCACTGATTTATTTTCTTTTTGTCATGATGACAGTAAATAGTTTTTTACTAAATATTTTTCAAGACACTTCTATACAGCTTAAAGTGACATTTAAAGGCTTCACTGGGTTAATCAGGTTGACTAGGCAGGATAGTGTAATTAGGCAAGTTATTTTATAACGATGGTTTGTTCTGTAGACTATCGAAAACAAAATTAGCCTAAAGGGGCTAATAATTTAGTCCTTAAAATGGTGTTTAAAAAATAAAAATCTGCTTCTGTTCTAGTCGAAATAAAACAAATGAGACTTTCTCCAGAAGAAAAAATATTATCAGACATACTGTGAAAATGTCCTGAATCTGTTCGACATAATTTGGGAAATATTTAAAAAACGGGGCTAATATATAATTTAAATTTTTTTATGTATTTATATATATTCACCAAGCCTCTGCTGTTAAATGACTACGAGTCTCTCTTTGCACTTAGGTCAAAAGGAACGTTTTTAAAAAAGAGATTATGTAAATACAGACTGAAATTTTGGGTCATGACTAGGTGTCGGGGCTAAAGTTGACCAACCAGTCAAACCTCGACACTTCAGAAGCAGATGGCCCAGAAATCTCCTTCAGTGAGTCTGTGTCACTGCATTAAGCAAATCCTGCACACACTCTTCCCCAGTGTGAAAATAAAGAGTAGCAGAAGAAAACGAGCCGGGAAAAATGTTAATCAGCAAAAGAGATTAGTGTGTGTGTGGGACATCAAACAGCCGGCCCGCTGCCAATGAGTTCATCTACAGTCAGACTGGAGAAAAGCAGAGAGAGAGAATCCTGCAGAAGGCTTCACTCTTTTCTCTGCATGTCTGTATTTAGGTCATTCATTCAGTGCGGGCCGCGGGCGAAGCTCCGTCACTGCGGAGGAGATCTGATGAAAACACCACTACCCATTTCTGACGATCACCCAGAGTCTCCGCTGACGGGAGCTTGTTCTGTTCCAGTCTGCAGATCTGACTGGTCACAGTCGGAGCTCCAGCTCGGCGGTGTGACTGACCATAACATCACTGATTCTCAACTGGTGGCTCCACATAACTACAAAAACAACTGATTCATTGGATTTACTCATGTTTTTTAAAGGTAAATGGATGCAAACAATTGATATGGGCCGAATTTAAACTTAATGTTCAACTTCGTTTGTTTAAATTCAGCCCATAACAATTGTTACCTTT